GTATCTTGCAGGAAACTAGCGGTATTCATGACTAACAGTTTTAACATAATATCTACAAGGTCTGAGATTTGTTCGGTAAGTGTGGTCATACTTTTATGATGGGTCTGTCTGGCTTTCCTGGTTTGTGGATCTTGGGCAGCGAAAATAAACACACATCTGGAAAAAAAATGTAAAGTGCCCCTTTCCCCTCCTTGCTCACGTGCAAAGGTGAAAGCACGCGTCGGCACACAAACAGCAATCGTCCCACACATGTGAGGTATCACCGCAAACATCAAATCGAGGGCAATAATTCTACCACCAGACCTCACTCAAACCAGTTCTCTGCCGGCAGGTTTATTCCTTGCCTCAAAACCGTCTTCCCTCTGTGCATGCGCAAGCCATGCTGCGCTTTTTTGAGTGGTCCTGCAAGTTTCTGGAACCTGTGACATGTCCCAGTAGGAGGACAGCGGGGGGGTAAGAACATCTGATGAATCTGCCACAGCCATCCAACTGGAAGTGGTAGTGGGTACCTGTCAAGCCAGCTTCCCACTCCCCCCCAAAAAATAATGCCAAAAATAGAAGGTGGGGAGGAGGGCTTCACCTTTTAGAGTGAAGGTCTTCTTTAAGCCCATCTAGCCTCTTAGCATTTATTTGGTCCTTTCTCAAGCAAGCCTTTCATCCGGTGAAATGTAGAAGTCCTTATTGCCTTGCTTTTGCTTTCAGCTGTTACTCAAGCTCCGTGGAGCAGTGATGCAATGGTGCAAATACACTACTGCAAAACGTAATAACCTATTAACTGTTGGATGTTTAACCAAATTCAACTGCCCTAGAGAAGTTTAATTGATTGACTCTTTTAAATGACTTATCCCAACCTTAGAAATGGATGCACCCAACACAGGGTGGTGACTGTGGGTGCATGACCAAAGTCCTAAAGTGCTTCCTCCTAACATAGACTAACTAGAAATATAACAAAAACCATGAACTTTATAGGCACTGCAAATAATTTGTTAAAAAGTTCCAACACTTTATTGAACACATACATGTGTGAATCCACTAACAAAACATATCAATGTTACATAAAATGGATCAATGCAGATTCAAATATTATCAAAAAATCCCAAACATCATACATGTGCCATGTACCCTGGCAGACTGACTATACCAAAAATCTCAAACGACACAGTCGTGCGCTGGAGCGACTATGGCGCAAAACCAGATCCCAACAAGCGTTCACCCGATATAAATTTGCCTTCCTCACCTACACTTCCTCCCTCCACGCTGCCAAGCAAGCCTACTTTGTGACCCTCATCAATACCCTCTCCTCCAGTCCTCGCCGGCTCTTCTCTACTTTTAACTCTCTACTCTCTCCACCTCCACCCAGTACCTCACTCTCCTCCCACGAGATTGCCAACCACTTCAAAAACAAGATCAACGCAATTCGTAGGGACATCGCCACTGCTCAGACTTCCACTCCACCTAGCATCCCTCACACGAAAACCCCCTCAACACCCCTCTCCTTCGACCTCGCCAATGTCCAGACCTCCACCCCACCTAACATTCCTCACACTAAAACCCCCTCAACACTCCACTCCTTTGACCTTGCTACCACTGAAGAGGTCACTAAGGTCTTCTCTGAAGCCCGCCTCACCACCTGCCCCCTTGACCCTGTCCCCTCACAACTCCTACGATCACCCTCCTCCTCCATCCTACTCTCCCTCACACATCTTTAATCTCTCCCTCTCTACTGGCGCAATCCCCTCCCCTCTGAAGCACGCATACATCACTCCCATACTTAAAAAACCCTCCCTGGATCCCACCGACCTGAACAACCTTAGACCCATCTCCCTGCTACCATTTACATCCAAACTCCTTGAGCGCTTAGTCTATAATCGCCTGAGTTCCCACGTCACCAACAACAACCTCCTTGATCCCCTACTGTCTGGCTTCCACCCCCTACACTCCACCCGAATCCGCCCTACTCAAACTCACCAACGACCTGCTAACCGCCAAAGCTAATGGCCACTATTCAGTGCTCCTACTCCTCGACCTCTTCACGGCTTTCGACACGGTTGACTATCCTCTCCTCCTCAAAAAACTACACTCTCTTGGCCTCAGAGACTCCACTCTCTCCTGGCTCTCTTCCTAGCCATCACAGCGCTCCTTCAGCGTTACCTATAATGCAGCCACCTCCCCTCACTCGCCCTCTCTGTTGGGGTCCATCAAGGTTTTGTCCTCAGGCCCCTTCTCTTCTCCATCTACACCTCCTCCCTTGGCCAACTGATACACTCTCACGGCTTCAACTACCATCTCTATGCCGACGACACGCAAATCTATCTCTCTACCCCTCGCCTCACCCCTTCAGTTTCCGCCCGAATCACTAACCTATTGAACAACATATCGGATTGGATGCCATTCCACTTCCTCAAATTAAACTATTCCAAAACCGAGCTCCTAGTTTTCCCCCCAGCCCACGCCCCCCCCCCCCGACTTCTCCATCACGACCAACAATGCCACCATCAATCCCACCCCGCAAGCCAGAGTACTAGGTGTCATCCTAAACTCCAATCTGTCTTCCAGCCCCAGGTCCAATCACTGACAAACTCATGTAGACTCCACCTCCGCAACATCTCCAAATTACGTCCGTTCCTAACCCCGGAAACTACTAAGCAACTCATTCACTCCCTTATTATATCACGACTTGACTACTGTAACTCCCTCCTCACTGGCCTACCTCACCACAGGCTATCCCCGCTTCAGTCTATCCTGAATACGGCAGCCAGACTCATCCGTCTTACTAACCGCTCTGTATCCGCCACCCCTCTCTGCCAATCCCTCCACTGGCTTCCGATTGCCCAACAGATAAAATTCAGAATGCTAACATTGATGTACAAAGCTGTCCATAACACTGCCCCGAACTACATCACTGACCTGATATCCATCTACCACCCTAAACGTACTCTCCGCTCCTCACAAGACTTCAGACTCTCTAGTTCCCTGGTCTCCTCCTCCCATGCCCGTCTCCAGGACTTCTCCAGGGCTTCCCCCATCCTCTGGAACTCCCTACCCCAATCCATCAGACTATAACCTACTCTCCTCTCCTTTAGACGCACCCTGAAAACCCATCTCTTCAGGGAAGCCTACCCCGCTCTCAGATAATAGCCGATCTCCTCCACTCTTCCTACCACTCCATCCCCCACAGCTATTGCCTCCTGTACCACTATCCCTTCCCTCTTAGATTGTAAGCTCCAAGGAGCAGGGCCCTCGAATCCCTTGTGTATTGAATTGTATTGCTACTGTACTGTCTCGTGTATTGTCTCCCATTGTAATGTACAGCGCTGAGCAAACTGTTGGCGCTATATAAATTCTGTATAATAATAATAATGTGTAGGTAATGGCTATATGGGGTAATCTTGATATAATGATGATAGCAGCTCATACAGTGAAAAAACATCCATATATCCTACATGACATTCATATAGCATAACCATACAGTTCGTAGTTCAGCAATAAGTACGGATAAATGCAAATGGTTTAGATACATACATCTACACAAAGATAGCGGTGGGAAACGCTTGGCAAAACCCGCCAGAGGCCGACCGATGAGGGGATCCCAGCAAAACAGGGGGCGCAGGCAGCGTACCCTAAGGTGGAGTTTAATATACACATTTATGTTAGTAAAAGGGGGGGTGAAGCCTGGCTATCTGAGGGAAATAGCATAAATCAGGGCAATATATTGCTACATCACTGTATAAGAGTTCATTTAAACCTTTTTTGGGGGGAAAATGTCTCCTTAACTGAGTAGGTATACACCTGCTACATTCCCATAGTAACAGAGTACTCACCTCCCCACTGGGTGTATATATATATATATATATATATATATATATATATCAGGCCTTTTTAAAAGATGTTCCCCTTATGACCTACACCTTCATACAATCTCGGGAGGCCAGTATCACATGTATGTTATTCTGTAACAAGAGGTTATAATATATATAAATAAGCTCCAACGACATGTAAAAAAACACCCCCATTTTTACTAGCTCAACAAATAAAAGGAGAAGGTGGAGGAGGAGAAACAAGGGGAACCTTACCTCACAAGGTGATAGTAAAGAGCACAAAAGGCTCAATTGACCCCCTGCTGTTGGCCACATAACTGAACTGTGTTCCTACCAAAATGGGGTATATACAGGGGCGGACTGGCAACTCATGGGGCCCCCAGGCAATAGGGGATCATGGGGCCCCTGTGTCCTTGCCCAAACTCAAAAAAGCCTATGAAAAAGGTACCAGGGGCATCTCATGGGGCCCCCTACTGACCCCGGGCCCTCGGGCAGCGCCCGAGTTTCCAAATGGTCAGTCCGCCCCTGAGTATATATATCACATAACTGGGCTCTCCTATGTAGTAGGCTGAGAGCCCCCAGCTGTCTAGTTGCCTATAAAAGAATCAATACCTCTTGGGTAAACACTGGTAGGTAACATGAATCAGTATACATTTAGGATATCTACTGTAGCTGCTTATTATTGAAGGTTTACTGGGTATATGAGCCTCTGGGCCCCCTTTGGGCTGTGGGTGCCATGATAACATGGTCCGCGTTCCACCCCTCCCTATGAAAGGATGCCAACCCAGGACGTCAGCGCAGTCAGAGATGGCATGTGACGCCACTGGGCCTGGCTGAGTATGATCATACCTATTGCACCACCAAATTCATGGCGGAGAGTTCGCTAGCCGGCGACACATGGTGGCCATATTGGGCATACCACAGCAAGGCTTGTGGCACCCAGGGAACACCGCAGCTGAGCCCTCATGCAACGCCACAAGGACCAATGGCTGTGACGCCACCAGCCGCTCATCGGTCTAAGGGCCTGCATGCAGGGACCAAACGCCACCCATCTACATCCATGTGCAACGTACTAATACAGACAAAAAAATCAAAATAGACAAAAATAGATATACATGTTTCAGAATCATTAAAGTTGTATCAATCAGATTCATTGGTGACTGCAGGCATACTACAGTAGATGGTCAGAGACTGCAGGCATATTACTGGAGATGGTCAGAGACTGCAGACATATTACTGGAGATGGTCAGAGACTGCAGACATGATACAGGAAAAGGTTAGAGACTGCAGTCGTACTATAGGCATAATATAAAAGAAGGTCAGAGACTGAAAACATGGTACAGGAGATGGTCAGAGTCAGCAAACATGATGCAGGAGATAGAGACTGTAGACATACTACAGGAGAGGGTCAGAGACTGCAAACATACTACAGGAGATGGTCAGAGACTGCAGACATTCTACAGAAGGGGGTCAGAGACTGCAGACATACTACAGAAGGGGGTCAGAGACTGCAGACATACTACAAGAGAGGGTCAGAGACTGCAGACATTCTATAAGAGAGGGTCAGAGACTGCAGGCATAGCACAGGAGATGGTCAGAGACTGCAGACATATTACAGGAGAGGGTCAGAGACTGTAGACATATTACAGGAGATGGTCAGAGACTGCAGACATAGTACAGGAGATGGTCAGAGATGGCAAACATAGTACATGAGATGGTCAGAGACTGCAGACATACTACAGAAGGGGGTCAGAGACTGCAGACATACTACAGGAGATGGTCAGAGACTGCAGAAATACTACAGGAGATGACCAGAGACTGCAGACATAGTACAGGAGATGGTCAGAGACTGCAGACATAGTACAGGAGATGGTCAGAGACTGCAGACATAGTACAGGAGATGGTCAAAGATTGCAAGCATACCACAAGACAATATAGATGTCAGAGACTGCACCTCCCTGTATACTGCTCACTGCACTGCCCCATGTACTGTCTGACCTCCTATCCCTGTACTTTGCTCAAACACTCTTCATGGTCCTTCCTGATCAGCACAACAGGTGCTCTGTGTCCCCACACCATACATGTCATTTACTTCCTTCTCTGTGTGGCACCGACAATGACGACAGGTCCCAGACTCTCAGCATAAACTGTACAGAGGAGGGCAGGGTGGACGGTCCCCCCTACCCCGCCCCACAAGTCACAGGTCTGGTTGTTAGGGGTGGAGTGATTGGCTGTTATGGAGGTCATGTGACAGTGGGTCAGGCAGTGGTTGGTTTGAGACTCAGAAGAGGTGATGGAGCACCGATCCAGGAAATTCAAGATGAGAGAAAGCCAGGCACACATCCACCTGGACCCACCCTGCTGCCGCACAGCCCGATCCGTCCTCAGTGAGCATTAAGTTGACTTAGGGAAATGCACATGAGCAGTTCCAAAGCCAACCACAACCCTTTTTTTGCAGGCAGTGCGGGCTCACGAGGCAGCTGCTTTGGGCCCCTCAGCAATGACAGGGCCCTGAGCAGCTGCCCCTTTTGCCCCTCATTAAAGACGGTCCTGCGTGTGTGTAAAAAGTAGTGCCTTTACTCACAGTACGGTGTTCTCTCTTCTCTCCCCGAATCGGCAGGGGCGGGGGGGGGGGGGCAGTGGAGGGGCGCAGGAGCATTCACACCCTGAAATAGAAATTGACGTAAGGGTACGTCTCTGTGCCCAGAGCCGTCACTTACCTGTACAAGTAAAAAAAAAAACCTTCAAAAAAAAAAATTCTCAATACAGTATTTTTTATTTTACTTTATTTTTTTTAACATTTTGTTAATTATTTTTAAATACTTTTATCAGAGTAGTACAATGTTCCCATAGTAATATTGTACTACTCTGCGGTGGTGATCAGGGATTTTTTTTTTTTACACTTTGTTTTGCAGGAGCAATAAAGACGATTTTATTTTTGAATATTATAAAGCCTGCTTTGAACTGTGAATACGTTCAAAATAATAGTGATCTGTGATTGGTTAGAGCTGGTCACATGGTACAGGGTGCTGTGATTGGCCCCATGTATCATGTGAGGGCTGTGGGCCAATCACAGCTCAGCAGGAAGAGAAGGAGAGCTGTTATGAATCAGATTGCTTCATATCGGCTTTGCTAACAATATGGCACAGCGGTCACGGGTGGGGAGGGCTGTGTGCCTGCTTGGGTATGCGGCGCCCCCCTGTGTTAGTACAGCCAGAGCAATGTACCTGTACATCGCTTTGCCTGTAGCTGCCGCCTGTCCGCAGTACATTGCGGGCGGGCGGCAAGCGGTTATCCTAAGGATGGTCATACCACATATGTGAGACTTTTTTTACAACCTAGCCACATAATGGGGCCCAAACTTCAAGGAGCACCTTCAAGCTTTCAAGGGGCATAAATTAGGCATCTATTTTCCTTACTACCTATCATATTTTTTGAGGCCTTGGAGCACCAAGACAATAGAAACACCCACAAAATGAAAACATTTTGCAAAACAAACATTCCAAGGTATTTGTAAGAGACATGATAAGTCTTTTAAAGGCAGCAAAGGGGTTGAATGCTCAAACAGATAACAAGCAGAAATCAGTTTACTAACTGTCCCTAATCTCTCCCTATGGTGTTTTTCAGCTTTCCCTACAACAGCTTCCAATATACTGACATCATTTCTGTCCTGATTTGATTGACAGCTGCGGCCACAAATAGTGGTGCGGGTAGGGAGTTCATCTGTCTCACATTCGCCCCCTACCCGGAAATGCAAAATCATGTGTATATATACGATTTTGCTTACCCGTGCCGCTCTGTAGCAGTATTTCTGCTATAGGGCGGCCAGGAAGCTGCTATTTACCCACATTTGGGGGGGGGGGGCACACTTCAGCACATAGATAAGGAGTTCAAATTGTAAACAAAAGACCCGACATTAATTAGAAGGCTCCATATCAATTTATTGTGAACACATTGCATGATGTATTGCTATGGGTAATAAGTACAGTATTAGGGAATTATTCAGGGATACGTATAATACAAATAATAATGCAAAAACATATTCACTTTGAAGTAATAATAAATTGTTCAACAGTTACAAAGACTGGAAAATTGCATAGGAAATTAGGATTACACAAATTTAACACGGAAGGCACTTTGCTAAAGACAGAAAGACAAATCAAAAGAAAAAAAAAAAAATTGAAAAATGTCAGTGCTTGGCAGTTCACTGGAGACACAGGATATCATTTCATTTCAGGACAATGCTGGTACTGGTACTATAAAGGGTGATGATGGTCAATGCTCTGATGTGACCTCACAGTGATAAAGTTCAGAAACAACTACACAGAATAATTGTAACTGATGTTCTCAGAACGTTTTACATCCATGAGTTGTGGAAGAGTTAATCTCAGTCATTTCTAAGACTTTCTTTCCATTTGTTAAACATTTGTAAATGACTGATATGGTATCAATAGACTGATGTAGAGCCATCATGTTAGCAAATTTTAAAAGGTGCTGTAAGTATAGAGCTATAGATTTTACTCCCAATGTTGGAGAGATATGTGAGGAGTTGGTAATGGTCATAAACAGTACAATATGTGGTAGAAAATCATTTCATAAATGGAGGCTAACTAGAACTGAATATCACAAATGATAGTATGGATTTATGAAAGACTGATGTTGGATAACTAAAAACCTAAATATAAAAATGTCGCACAAAATCAAGTGGAAAACATGTTACTTTTAAGTATATGTAAAGTTACTTCTGAGTTTTGTATAGAGTAGGAAAGGGCTCAAACCTGCCATATTTTTTTTTTGGTCATTTATATACTGTTAGGGAGAATGTCACTTCCTTCCTCATGATGGAATTCACTGTGAAATGAGATGGCTGTTGCTGCAAAAAGTGTCAACTTGAATGACTTCCTTTCTATTTTGTTACATTGACAACTCAAATTTTGGATTTTTCCTCAATTTCATGCCCAATGATGGCTGTCACTAGGAAAAATAATCTCCCAGCAGAGTAAAATACAGCAAAATAAATAAATAATAATGGAGTTGATAACTAAAAAAAAAAAAACAGTTTTGGCATTAGATCTTAGATGCACTTTAAATGGTCATGTGACATTAATTATCCCCCCTTTTGATTGGAGGAAAAGTTTAATTTCAAGCTATACAGTGTCCCTTACTGTATGGAATGGTTTCCCCAGGAGATGAGTTTACCGAAATCAGTAGTTTGGAAAAAAAGGGTTATGTGTCATCCTGAAATAAAAAAGTATAAAAGATTGCTTACTTAGGGATCAGGAACGGATCTTCTTTGCGAGTTTTTATTTTTTGTCCATTTTCTACATCACTTTTTCAGCCTAATTATGTAACTTTTAAATAAGCAAAAATAATAAAATATTACATACTAAATTGACCTGCTTGTAACGGAACCGGAACCGACCACTCTTGGGTATATTCCGTTATACGGCAGCTTCCCCTGTCCGAACACCATCCACGGACCACACCCTTGAAATCCCTCAGGAAATAGACAGCACCCAGCTCTTCTTAAAACAGGAAGCCAACTCTTTATTTTAACACAAAATACAGGATATATACAGAGGGCGGGGAAACACAATCAGGAACAGGAAATACATCATCAGCTTGCCCCATCAGTGGGAGGCTGCAGGAAACACCTCATCACCCCCTCCCCATCCAACCAAGACACAGAACAATGGGATGAAGCACATGGCATAGAACAATAGGCGACCACATGGCAGGGACAATACAGGGACACATGCATCCCATAATAGTTGGCTGGACAGGAAGACACAGCACAATGGGGGGTAGCACATGGCAAACAAACAAGAGACAGCCATGTGGCCGAGAACAAAGGAACACACACTATACACAAGACTGGGACATTCACATTTACACACCCTGTACCCTTTAACAGGCACAGGGTGCCTTAAACATAATGGGAATTTGGGAAGATGATACAGAGGTCCCCCCACCCCAAAAGTCACTCCCGTCACATATCTCCCCTTTCGGCAGGAGACTAACACAGGAGTAGATCCCAGATGGATGTACTCTGAAGTTAGTCGGTACTTCCAGTCCCTTAATGCCGGCACCCACACAGTACCCCATGCAAATTGTCCCACACCAAGCTTTACTCACCCAGCCAACCTCTGCCTCTCCCGTAGAACATACCTGCCGCTGGGGAGGGGTACGGACTGGTCCTTCTCCTGGAAATCCTCTCAGCCACTGGAGAGAAGACAGGGTGGCTGGGCCACCTTCATCCTTCTGTGGGGGATCTGGGCCGACTGCCCAGCATCCCTGGGGTATCCAGGTGGTGGCTGTAGTTGCTAGGCAGAGGCCAGCGGCGCTCTGCCCTGTTGCCAGCACTTCTGCTGGGGACCCCACATCTGCTCCGGCTAACCATGGGGGAGGGAGGCCGGCCTCCTCCCCTCCCAGACTGTGGATCTGCTGCTGGGATGGAATTCTGCTGTCACTGTCCCCCTGGTGCACAGATCCTGGCTTGGGAGGGAAAACAGTTTCCTCCACTCTGGCTGACTGTGGGGGAGAGAGGACAACAACCTCCTCTCCCTTCTCACCCTGGGCCTCTGAAACTACCACAGGTGTGGGGCAGAGGTCCTGGACCCTCTGTCCGGTTGTCAGCACTTCAGCTGGGGACCCCACATCTGCTCC